AAGATGGGAATCCCCCCTAGGGATCCCCTTGGCGACCACTCCCCCACATAACCCTTCGGGCTATGTCGCCAAGGACCCCTCCCCTGTCCCCACGGCTGGATCCGCGCAATCCCTGGCAGCAGAAGTGCGCCCGCGACGGCCTCACCAGCGCAGTTACAGCGCAGTTACAGCGCCGCCCCCCTCGGTAGCACCTTCGGCGCCGCCAGCTGCAAGAACTTTGGCGACCGCAGCGCCCACAACGGCGACTCCAGCTGCAACTCCGCCAACTTCGACGGGTACCAAAGCCACGACGCCGCCAGCCACATCGCCGCCAACTACTTCGGCCCACGACCCCCTGCCCGACGACCCCGACGACGGCCCCTACCACCCCCTGCCCTACCCGACGGCCCCCGCGACCCCCCGCCCAACGGCCCCCAAGAATGACGAGCCCCGAGTGGCCGCATGCCCTGAGAGGGAGCCCGTGGAGGGGCATATGCCCAGGGAAGCGGCCATACGGGGCCGCTGGTCAGCCCAACGCTGGCGCCGCCTCCCCCGCGGCCGACTCGACATCCCGAGTGGCCGCATGCCCTGAGAGGGAGCCCGCGGGGGCATCCCTGGGGAAGTGGTCATAGGGACAGCCGAAGACACTCCCCAGGAGCCCCCCGCCCGTCCCCCGCGACTGCCCCACGACCCGCCCCCAACCCGACTGCCCCCCCAAACCCACCGCCAGGACGGCCCCCCACGACGGCCCACGCGACGGACCCCACGACGGCCCTCCGCGGCGGCCCCCACGGCGGCATCGCCGCGATGGCGACGAGGACGACGCCCGCCACGACGGCGACTACGACCACGACAAAGCCCCTCCTCCCTGCGACGCCCTTCCCGACGCTTTCCTCGACGCCCAGGCCGACGCCCTGCCCCGCTCCCTACCCGACGCTGCGCCCGACTGCCAGGAGGCGACGAGGGCGACGACGCTCCCCCCCCCCAAAGACCCCTCGCCCCGACGGCCCCCACGACGACCCCCCCCCCCCCCGAACCGGCGACCCCCCAACCAACGACACCCACGACGCTCACCTGCGACCGTCACAAGCCCTCATGCGACTTCTCGTTACGACGACCTTGCCCAACGCCCAGCCCGACGCCCCATCCCACTCTCTACCCGACGCTCCGCCAAACGGCCTCCCAACGCCCCACTCTTTTTCTGGACCTACCTCGGCTGCGCGGTCAGCGCTACCCACACGGACGGCTGGACGGCCCACGAGGACGCCCCTCCGACCCACCCCGAGTTTGCTTCGAGGAAGACCCGATGCCTCTCCCCACGACGTTACTGACCACGACAACGCGCCTCCGCACCGCGACGCTTCTCCCCGCGAACACCCTGCCCCGTGCTCTGCCCTCCCACGACGACTTACCACGACGACCCAACGTCAGGCCCTACTCCCAGCCCTACGCCCCGTCCCACTCCTCACCCGACGCCTCGCTCGACGACTACCCCGCGCCCGACTCCCCACCTGCTGCGCCACCCGACCCTCCACCCCATCCCGACGGACCCGACGCTCGATCCCTGCCCGAGATGCCCGAAGCCCCGACGCCCTACCCCACGCCACGCCCCCAAGTGGATGACATCCACCCTGTGGGACCTCGAGGCCCCCTAGACCCAACGCGTCCTCGCCATCGCCAGCACCGCCGCCAGCGCACGCATCAATGACTTCGCCGGCACCAGCGTCATCGACTCCCAGATTCAGCATCTCCACGACTAGCGCCGGCCGGTCAATATGGCCCAGAAGCAACAGCTACACAATATTCGCGCGAGGGAGGCGGAACTCCAGGCGCTGAACCACCCAGCGGCCGACCTGACGCAAGCGACCCCACACCTGACGTCCCACCCGACCCCTCCTTCCGACGCCCCTCCCAACCCCTCCCCGCGACGGGTGCGCTTCACCGACGCCCTGCCCGGCGCCCACACCCCCGACGACGACGAGCCTCCAGACAGCAGGCCAACTCGGCGCGTGCGACTCGCCGACGCGCCATAGACTGCACCCGCCACCCACCGATGCAGGAGTGGATGGCTACCGAGGGCAGGGAACAGCTGCAACCTGCAGCGACGACCCCAGCCCAATACTCGGGTCAACTCCGACCACTCCTTCCTTCCCTTAACCCCCCCGCCGCATGGGCAGCCAGCCCGTGGCACGGGCCGGGTCCCTTCCTGCACCGCCACCTTACCGCACCCATGCGAAGACCTCTCCACCCCACTCCACCATTGCCAACGCACCCGACGACCTCTCCACGACCGCCCCTCCACGCCACCACCGCCGACGGCAGCACCTCCGGGGAACGCCGACGCCCACCTCGGCCACGACCAGAACCGGACTGCCAGCGAGACTTCAGGTACTTTGGGCCTGGCCGCCCTCACCCTCCAGTCCACCCCGCCTCCACGACGCTCAAATTGATCCCCCCCCGTTTTCGGCCCCTCGGCCTGCCCGCCTCCGTGCCCATCCCCGCCTTTGGTGGTCCATCCTGGGGGGTCCAGCGCACCGGCGGCCGATTCGTCGCGCCTCCCTCGTCCCTCCTCCGTAGCTTCTTTCCTCGGTTCCCCGCAGGTCGTTCCCTTCGGGTTTCGAGGGGTGTATCCCCAACTGGGGTGGTAATTTGGTGGGGGTCTCGAAGGGGATGGGGATGGGGATAGGGATCGGTTAAACGATACCGAGGTCCCGCCTCGTATCGTCTCCTCCTCGTCCCATTCGCTGGCCCCACCAGCGGCCGCATGCCGCTCACGTTTATACCTCCCCCCCCAGCCCGCTAACTTCTGCGGGGCTGGGGTTCGAGGGCTCCAGGCTCGGACGAGCCAGAATAGCCCGCAGCTCGTGGCGCGTAGGGGGACGATAGAGGAGGAGGAGGAGGAGGAGGAGGAGGAGGAGGAGGAGGAGGAGGAGGAGGAGGAGGAGGAGGAGGAGGAGGAGGAGGAGAGGAGGAGGAGAGAGGAGGAGGAGGAAGATGGAGGAGGAGGAGGGGAGGAGGAGGAGGAGGAGGAGGAGGAGGAGGAGGAGGAGGAGGAGGAGGAGGAGGAGGAGAGGAGGAGGAGGGCGGAGAGAAGGAAGGAGGAAGGAGGAGGGGGAGCAGCATGAGTAGTATGAGTAGTATGGGTTAGTATTGAGGAGGAGGAGGAGGAGGAGGAGGAGGAGGAGGAGGAGGAGGAGGAGGAGGAGGAGGAGGAGGAGGAGGAGGAGGAGGAGGAGGAGGAGGAGGAGGAGGAGGAGGAGGACGAAGGGGGAGCTGCGAAATCTGCTGCGTGCGGCTGTTTTCGGCGCAACCGCCAGGCACGCTCCTCGATACCATATTCACCTTCGGCGCCGGGAGGCACCGCGAAAACCATCTGCGCGACCTGATTCGCTAACACGCCCTTGATTAAACATCGCTTAACCGCCGATCAATATCCGCACTGGCGTGGCCTGGGCTCCACTGGCTGATTTGGCTGTTCCATCCAACTGGGGTGATGAGGTGGTGGAGATCGGGATGGGGATCGGTTGAACGATGCTGTTCCACTGTGCCCTCACTTCGTCCGGCCAGACATGAGGGGGAGGAGTAATCCTGAGTGCTGAGCCCTCTGGGCAGAGCTTGCCTGCGTCTCTAGAAAGTCGGGGCGGCCAATCTGTGCATAGTTTTGGCCTCTGGAGGAGGCCGGCTCTGGACCTCGGGGCCGTCCACAGAAACGGCTCGTGGCAAAAAGCCGGCCGTTGCGGCCAAGGGTCCGAGAGGTCAAGGGGCCACGCGTCGGCAAACGCCGAAGCGTCCGATGTCTGGGAGGTCAGAATTGGCGGCGCGCAGAGGCGGGTAGGGGGAGGGAATGAGGCTTCTTCGAAGGAGGCTGCTTCTTAGAAGGCGCGGGCCTTATTGTAGATGTAAGGCCCGTGGCTTCTAAGAAACAGCCCCCTTCTAAGACGCTTTCCCCACTCCCCCTACCCTCCTTCTTCGCGCCGCCAACAGAAACAGGGAAGGCGGCCCACGCAAGACGAGGCCAGGGCGAGGATCAAATCGGGCGAGGAAAGATAGAGCATCTCTGAGGTTCGGTGGTTCTGGAGAATGTGTCGGGCGCCGCGGCCTTCTCAGAGCGTTCTGGAACGCTCTGGGAGCGTTCCAGAACGCTCTGGGCTGGATTCATCTTCGTCCTAGCCCCGTCCGGCTATGGCCCCTCCTGTGGGCCCAGAATCTGGACCGAAGACGGCGCGTTTTTTTTTTTTTTTTTTTTTTTTTTTTTTTTTTTTTTTGTTTTTGTTTTTTTTTGTGTGTGTTTTTTTTTGTTTTGTCCTATAGCGCCGGCCCCAGCACGCCGAAGAGTATGCAGCTCGGCCGGCATGCCCGTCCGCGCCCACACTCCCGGATCATGCAGCATCGAAGCAGGACACCGAACCGAAGCAGCACGCGCGTCGGGCCGGCTGCCCCGGCACGGAGCCGATCTTGCTCCGGACCGGCTGGGCGCAAGACGCACGGCAGTGCCGTGCAAGCATCGGGCCACCGCGGATCGCTGGAGTGTCGGAGCCGAACCGACTCGGGCTGGCCAGAGCCGCCTTCACGTCGGATCGGAGTGGGCCCCCGATGCTGAGCATCCCCCGCGCTCCGGGGGCGTGGCCTCACGCCAGCGCGGCAGATGCAGAGAGCTCCCAGAGATCCGCCGTCTTGTTGTCTTCAATGCGGGGTCCCCGGTGATCTTTTCCATATTCATTGTTTTGCCGATCGGCGCGGGCCCTCGCACCCCCCCCCCTCCCCCATCTTGGCTGTTTCTGGCACCTGTTTCGAGCAGGTGGAGTCTCCCTCTCAGGACGCACTGCTGCAAACAGTCGCACTAAGCAGAGGTCCAGAGCCAGACTCCCCCCTCCCTCCCCTCCTCTTCCGCCCAGTGTCCAAACGCCGAAAAAGAAAACGTTTACCTGAAATCCTGCCCCTTCCCCCCCCCGTCCTGCGGCGTTTTTTGACGGTCCTGACGCCCGGCGAGGGACCCCAGAGGCCACACCTGGAAAAGACACCTCCGTCTTGATCTTTCCAACGCATTGGAGGTCTGGCGTGCTGCTGCTCAAGAGGCGGCGCCGGGGGTGGCCCAACGAATCGAAGAGCTGACCGGCGGCGGCACCTTTTTTGTGCCATCTTGCGGGCTCCTCTCACCTAGCAGGCGCCGTCTCTCGCCACCGCGGTGCGCGGTGACGCGCCGACGTTCCCAGCATGCTCGAGGATCATTCCCGCCGTCTCTGGGCACGCCGCGTAGAAAAACACCTGGAGGCTTCCCGAATGGAGTCCGAGTAGATGGGGTCGGAGGATCGCGCAGCATCGCAGATGCATCGGCGATGCATTGGTGACGTCGGCGTCGCACCAGCGCCAATCGGCGTGGAGAAGATCGGGCTCCACATCGAGCCACATCGCCGATGCCTGGCGATGCGGCGCGATCCTCCGACCCCACCTGCTCGGAACCTATTTGGGAGGCCCGGAACACCATGGCGGCGAAGTTTGTGACCGCTATCACCGCGTAGGGCAGCGCCGCGTCGATCTCGACCAGGTACGGCGCCGAGATGAGCAGGACGCCGGAGGCCTCCCCTCCACTCCTCCTCCTCCTCCTCCTCCTCCTCCTCCTCCTCCTCCTCCTCCTCCTCCTCCTCCTCCTACACTCCCCTCCCCCTCCCGCCCCCCCTCTCCCTCCCACTCCCCCCCCCTGGAGGAACACGCCACTGCACAATCAGAAGCTTGTGGAAGCCCGCGCGGGGCTCCTGGGCCCCCCGGCGCCGGCGCGTGGAGCGCGCAGCCTGATGCTCTCTTCTGTTCCCACTCGCCTGCCCTCCGCTCCCTCCCCTCCCCGTCCGAAAACTAATGGTAGTGGAGTTTGATGCTCTTCTTCTCCCCACCCTCCACCCTGACCTCCCAGGATGCAGAGCGAGACCTGATCGGACAAGAACGGGAAGCGCCGCTTTAGTCGAATGGGCGTATTGGGCGAAAAGAAGAAGAAGCATAATAATACAACTCTTAGTAACTGTAACTATACTACGGATAATCACAAAAAGAAGGACCCCCCACAGCAGCGGAATCGCCCCGGATCGGCGGCACTGGCCGGAGGCCACTACAATACTACGGACAATGACAATACTACTACTACTACTACTACTACTACTACTACTACTACTACTACTACTACTACTACTACTACTACTACTACTACTACTACTACTACTACTACTACTACTACTACTACTACTACTACTACTACTACTACTACTACTACTATACTACTACTACTACTACTACTACTACTACTACTACTACTACTACTACTACTACAACAACAACAACAACTAATACTATTAATATTAATAACAAGAATAATAATAATAACAATGATAATAATAATAATAATACTAATAATAATATGAATAATAATAATGATAATAATAATATTATTAATAATAATAATATTAATAATAATACTAATAATAATAATGGTAATAATAATAATAATGGGACTGATATTAGTAATGATGATATTAATAGTAATCATCATCATAATAATTATCATAATGATATTAATATTAATGAGGACAAAAGAAGAAGGAATGCGAGTGCGACGAGGAGGCGATGACGAGGACGAGGTGGAGAACGTGAGGATAGCGAGGAGGAGCATGAGGACAACGAGGAGGAAGGGAAGATCAGCACAAGGACGAGGACGAAGCGAACGAGGTCTGCTCCCCCTCCCCTGGCCTCCTCCCGACCCCCACCCTGACCCCCCAGAATGCAAGGCGAAATCCGCCACCGTGCCTGCACGGAGTGGGCGTGTCAGAGTGCTCGTCCGTTGCCCAGGAGGTTTTTGACACTTTTCCAGGGCCGCCCTCCCCTCGTCGCGCGCACCTGCCGAAAACCGCCCTCCTGAATTTGCTCTCCGGCGCTCTTTACGGCTTCCCGAAGGCCAGGATGGCCTCCAAGACGGCGTCCAAGGCTGCCAAGATGGCACCAAGACGGCCTGGCTCGAGGCCTCCAAGACGACTCAAGAGGGCTCCAAGAGGCCCTCCTGGAGAGCCCGAGGAGGCCCAAACCAATGACTTTCCTTGGTTTTGATCGACATGAAAAGCTCTCGCGTGTCTGGGTGTAGGACCGCCCAAGACCGCCCAAGAGGCCTCCAAAATAGCTCCAAGGCAGCCCAAGAGGTCCCCAAGAGGGCCCCAAGTCGGCCCAAGAGGACCCAAAGATCGCCCGATGGACTCCTACGAGGGCCCAAAGACGGCCTGGAAGCGCTCCGAAAGGGCACTAAGACGGCCCAGAGAGGCCACCAAGACGGCCTCCTGAGGCGTCAGTCGGGCCAAGAGCCCCCTAATATGGCCCAAGAAACCCCAAGAGGCTCCACAGAGGCCCCAGGAAGCCCCCAGGAGGCTCCACTACCGTACCCCTCGCATCCATCCCTTCCCATTGCGCTGATTTCCACTCTGTTCGCCGACGGATGTCTCAGCGGACGTGGCTCCCAGAAGTGACTCCATCGTGGGATGCGCACGCAGGAAAAGGGGGAGCTGTGTACTTTGGAGGAGGATGAGGAAGAGTGGACGAGGAAGATTTGGAGGAGGAGGAGGAGGAGGAGGAGGAGGAGGAGGAGGAGGAGGAGGAGGAGGAGGGGGAGGAGGAGGAGGAGGAGGAGGAGGAGGAGGAGCAACACCAGGAGGAGCGGGAGGAGCAGAATGACAGGAGATGGCGGAGGAAGGCCACGGACGGGGGCGACAACGACGATGGAAGGATCGGAGCCAGAAGTGCGGCCCGCGCTGGGGCGCGGGTGCGGTTCGGAAGGGCGGGCGCAGAGCGCGGGTCCTGGAACGGGGCCAGCGCTGCAGCGGGAGCACAATGCTGGATGATCGAAGACGTCCTGGACAGAGGGAACCGGATCAACACAAAGCGAATCGTGACATCTTGTGCACTCGTAGGCTCCCATGTGTGCATGCATGCCACACACTTCCCGGTGCGAGTGTCTGCGTGCGAGAGAGTCCAAACGTGAACGGGTCTTAGTCTGATAGGAAGGGGCCGATTGAGTCTGAGTGTGAATGAATCTGAATGTGAGCGAGTCTGAGAGTGGGTGTGAGCGTGGCAGGTCTGAGTGTATTTCAGTGTGAGTGGTCTGAGTGTGAGTGTGAGTCTGAAAGGTCTGAGAGTATCTGAGTGTGACGGGTGTGAGTGATCTGCATGTGCTGAGCGTGAGTGTGAGTGGGCGGAGCGTGAATGGTCTGAAAGTGATTGTGAGCTGAGGCAGCGTGTATTTGGCACCGAGACAAGCAAACCGCCCGAGGCATCCCCGCATCCCCTGCAGTCTGGGCCCTTGGGGCGCTGGAACCAGCGCCCCGCTTGAGACATCCTCACAAGCTGCTCCGAACGCAGAAGAATCTGCGGTCCGAAACAGGCACCCCGCCCGAGGCATACCCGCAATCTGGGCGCGAACGGAGCAGGAGGAGGAGGAGGAGGAGGAGGAGGAGGAGGAGGAGGAGGAGGAGGAGGAGGAGGAGGAGGAGGAGGAGAGGAGGAGGAGGAGGAGGAGGAGGAGGAGGAGAAGGAGGCCCTTGATGCACCCCCTGGCGGCTCCCCCCTTAGGAGTGCTGCAGCCAGCGCCTCGCCCGAGACATCCTGACAGGCTGCTCCTACAGCGAAAAAGACGCTGCGCATGCAACGAGGCAAACCGCCCGAGGCATCCACACAATCTGGGCGCGAATCCAGGAGTGTCCTCACCCCTGGCGGCTCCCCCTTAGGACGAGGACGAGGAGGAGGAGGAGAAGGAGGAGGAGGAGGGGGAGGAGGAGGAGGAGGAGGAGGAGGAGGAGGAGGAGGAGGAGGAGGAGGAGGAGGAGGAGGAGGAGGAGGAGGAGGAGGTGGAGGAGGAGGGAGGAGGAGGAGGAGGAGGAGAGGAGGAGGAGGAGGGGAGGAGGAGGAGGGAGGAGGAGAGGGGAGGAGGGGAGGAGGAGGAGGAGGAGGAGGAGGAGGAGGGGAGGAGGAAGGAGGAGGAGGAGGAGGGAGGAGGAGGGAGGAGGAGGAGGGGGAGGAGGAGGAGGAGGAGGAGGAGGAGGAGGAGGAGGGAGGAGGAGGAGGAGGAGGAGGAGGAGGAGGAGGAGGAGGAGGAGGAGGAGGAGGAGGAGGAGGAGGAGGAGGTGGAGGAGGAGAGAGGAGGAGGAGGAGGAGGAGAGGGAGAGAGGAAGAGGAGAGGGAGGAGGAGGAGGAGGGAGGAGGGAGGAGGGGAGGAGGGAGGAGGAGGGAGGAGGGAGGAGGGAGGAGGGGGAGGGAGGAGGGATGAGGGAGGAGGGAGGAGGGAGGGAGGAGGGAGGAGGGGAGGAGGAGGAGGAGGAGGGGAGGAGGAGGAGGAGGAGGAGGAGGGGGAGGAGGAGGAGGAGGAGAGGAGGGAGGAGGAGGAGGAGGAGGAGGAGGAGGAGGAGGAGGAGGAGGAGAGAGGAGGAGGAGGAGGAGGAGGAGGAGGAGGAGGAGCTGAAACCAGCGCCTCGCCTGAGACATCCCCAGAAACTGCTCCGACACCAGACCATGCTGCGAATGCAAACCGGCAGACCACCCGAGACATCCCCAGAATCCGTGCGCGAAAGGTGGAGTGTCCCCACCCCTGGCGGCTCCCCTTGGGGTGCCCAAGTGCCACGCCTGCGATACCGCGGTGAGCAGTGGCCCAAGTGAGTGTAAGTACGAGTGCTCCTGAGTATGACTGAATCTGATTGTCAGTGAATCTGAGTGAAACAGAGTGTGAGTGAGTCTGAGTATGAGCGGATCTGAGTAAGAGTGAGTCTGAGTACGAGTGAGTCTGAGTGTGAACGAGTCTGAGTATGAGTGAGTGAGTGCACGATGGAGGAGGGGTCGTCCGAGTAATGACAATAACTCCATCTTAGGATCTGGGGAACAGCACGAGGGAGGAACACTGCCATGCTCGGACAGGATCCAGGGAGAGAGGCGACTCGTATTTACATCAAGCCAGGTGCGCTCGCGCCTTATCTGGCATCCTACCCCGCCCTCCCACCCATCCCTTCCCATCGTGCTGACTTATATCCATCCGCTGGCGGGTGACATAGCGTTCGTCGAGCACCCCAAATTACGGCATCTTCTTATGCGCACTCAGACAGAGGAGCAGTGTGCATTAGAGGAGGAGGAGGTTGAGGAGGAGGAGGAGGAGGAGAATGAGGAGACGGAGGAGGATGATATGACATATTAGCAAACAAATGTACAGGAGGAAGAGGAAGAGGAAGAGGAGGAGAAGGAGGAAGACCAGGAGCAGGAGCAGGAGGAGAAGGAATCGGATGATGGGGGAGCAACAGCAAGAATAAGATGCACGGGAAGAGCATGAGGACCAAATGGACGCGGAGGAGGGGCACAGAAGGGGGCGACAACGACGATGAACGACTCGGATCCAGCAATGTGTCCCGCGCGTTGGGGGAGAGCGCCATTCCGAACGACGGCAGGAAACACCGATGCTGAGCGCTGCAGCTGGAACGCCACTGTCAAGCTTCACATATGTTCCGATCGAAAACAAACATCCGACCAAAAAGCGTTTGAACTCCTAGGCGCAACAAGCAGTCTGCGGGGGAATGGGGGCCATGCTTGGACAGAACCTGGGGAGAGATGAGAGTAGCACTCATGGTGGGTCATGGTGGAAAGAAGGATCAGGATGAGGAGGAGAGGAGGATGAGAAAAGATGGGGATTATGGAGGCGGAGGAGCACAGAGGATGAGGATGATGAGGAGGAAGACGAGGATGGATGAGGATGGAGGAGAGGAGGATGAGGAGAAGAAAACGAATGAGGAGGAGGAGGAGGAGGAGGAGCAGGGTGGAGGAGGATGAAGGTCCCCTCTCCGCCCCGATACCACGTCGCCGAAGAGCATGCTGACGGTCGCCGCACGGCCGCGCTGGTGCCGCGGCAGGATCTCGAAGCAGTACACCCAGACCACTGGTCCGTACCTCTTGTCGCTGCCGCCGCTGCCGCCGCCTTCGCCGTCTTCGACGTCGTCGTCGTCGTCATCGTCGTCGTCGTCGTCGTCGTCGTCGTCGTCGTCGTCGTCGTCGTCGTGTTCGTCGTCGTCGTGTTCGTCGTCGTCGTGTTCGTCGTCTTCGTGTTCGTCGTCGTCGTCGTCGTCGTCGTCGTGTTCGTCGTCGTCGTGTTCGTCGTCGTCGTGTTCGTCGTCGTCGTGTTCGTGTTGTTCTTCGTCGTTTTCGTGTGGGCGGGGTGGGGTTTCCGGCGGCCGTTTGGGACGATTCGGGGCCCCTTGAACGCGCTCGGCAAGGCGCAACTTATGGAAAGCATCTTGAGGCTGGGTAACCTCCGGGGACCGACGGCAATGTCTGGTGGTTCTGCGCCAGAGGGCTAACCATCCTGGCCAATGGCCACCCCTGCGAGTGGTCGAGAGGAAGATTTGGACGACCGAGACAGGTGCGGGAAAAAAGGGCACGGTGTCCAACAGCAAGCGATGTCCAAATCCGATAACGGGGACTGTTGGGAAGGCGACTTTTTGCCTCAAGCGGACGCCGTCCGCTGTGACTCCGACAGCGAGCACGATTCAAGCAGGAGCTACTGCCGGTCTTCGTGCCCATTCTTTACGCACCCACGCCGATCGTACTGAGAGGAGGAACCCCTCCCAAACATCCGACGGGATCGACCGTCCTGGCATTTCTACAGGCCTACCAAGAATTTTTCTTAGAACCCTAAGCTGTTCATATAACAGAACAATGTTCTTTAAGTATGAGCCCGATGTGCAAAAACAAGAGTCCCATCCAGAAATGTTCTAAGAGCATTCCGTGTATACCGCACAAGGTTCTCAGAACATTCTTTGCTTGGCCTAGAGGCGAGCCAGGACGCTTCGCCGCTGCTCGATGCCTGTTTGTTTGTTTATTTACTGCGCGGCCCCAAGATCGGGAGCGGCCAAGAGGGGGGCGTCCAAGAGCGGGGGGGTGCAAATCATGACCGGCGGCATGTGCGCGGCCCAGCGGGGGGGCCAGGGACGTACTGAAATGAGAAGAGGCGCCATGAAATCAGGGGAAATATCATGGCCCACGCCATGATATCCACCCCTCCTAGTCATCACCCCTCTCTTTGCCGCCCCCGACAAGAGGTCCCGCGCCCCTTCTTTGGGGGTCGCCCTCGTCGCGGATCCACTTCTGCCGGCCCTGGGGCCCGAGGGGCTGACGCCGAGGAGCGAGGCCCAGATTTTGACGACACCGCACGCCGCCGCGCCGCTTGCCCTCGACGCGCCCACGTGTGGACGACGCCGACACCACAGCAAACCCACGGCAGACCCCCCAGACATGATCGCGTCGTAAGAAAAGCAGGGCGGGACACTTTTGTGGCTGTTTTCGGCCTGGGTGGGACCTCGCCGGGCCTCGGACCGCCAAAAAACGACTCAGGACGACAAACCGGTCCTGGGGAAAGGGTCGGGACTTCCAGGGACGCCGTCCTGAAACACTCAGGACGTCGCATGTCTGGGCATGCACCCCGCGCCCCCAGCAGACAAAGCCGGCACCGCGGCGAACCCTACGGCAAGCCCACCGCGTCCGAGGCGGCGTTTGCCCTGGTGGCCGCGGCGCCCTCCCCAGGGCGTAAGGCCGCGCGTCGGGACAGACGGCGCGGCGGCATGCCCTCGGATACCTGGGTCCTGGGCGTGGCCGCGAGGAGGAGAAGGGCCCCTCCCTGCGCTCCCCGGCCACCCCAGGCTGAAGGACGCCCAGTACGCGACGACGCACCACGCCACCGCCGCGGCGGGGAAGCCGCCGTGCCGCAGTGCCGCGGCCAGGGCCGTGCTGGCGCAGCACGCGGCGGCCGACGCCAGGAAGAGCGCCCGCCGGCCGCAGGCGTCGATCAGCCAGAGCACCGGCAGCGCGAGCGCCACCGTCTTCGCCAGCTGGCCGGCGGTGAACCACCTCGAGGGCGCCGCGGTGGCCCCGCCCGCGCGAGGCCGCGGAGACGCTGCGATGTCCAGGCGCCGCAGCTCTGGCGACCACGGGCGAGGTCGCCCGGCTGCGGGCCTCCCGCGGCGGTCACACATCGATCCAGCTTGCAACACGACGTAGCAAGATGGGGCCTGGGGCTCCGGGTCGCGATTTTTCGCGGTGCTGCATTTTTTTTTTTTCGCAAAGGTCGGATCGCAAGGGGGCTCCCGGCCGTCTCCCCTGCCCTCGGGAAGCCTCTTCTCCCCGGCCCCCTGTCGGCTACCCGCAAGACTGACGCTGGGTCAGGGTGACCCTTGGTGCGCGGCTTTCTGGGGGCCGCGGGGGGGCCAAACACAAGCGCGCAAGAGGCTACTACCGCATCGCATTCAGCGATCGGAGGGCCCTACTGGCGGCGAAGGGTCACTCTTACGTGTAGGCGACCCTGGGGCGTCGAGAAAAGGGCACCCGTTCCCTTTTGGGGGACCGTCGGGGGTCCGCGCGGTGGGAACACACAAGCATCCAGAAACGCCAGCCAGCGCAGGAGTTGACTCTCCGCTCGCCCTGCCGACAGGTCTAATGGTGCGACGAGGAAGTGTTATGAGCAGGAGGATACGGAGGAGGAGAATGAGGAGGAGACGGAGGAGGAGGAGGAGGAGGAGGAGGAGGAGGAGGAGGAGGAGGAGGAGGAGGAGGAGGAGGAGGAGGAGGAGGAGGAGGAGGAGGAGGACGGAGAAGGAGGAGGAGGAGGAGGAGGGATGATGATGAGGATGAGGATAAGGAGGAGAGGGATGCTGCTGCTGCTGATGATGATGCTGGCGAGGATAACGATGCGGATGCTCATCATTATACTGATGAGATGATGATGATACTGTTGCTGCTGATGATGCTGCTGATATTGATGATGCTGATGCTGCTGTTGTTGATGATGGTATTGATGATGGGAGTGCTGCTGCTGCCGATGATATTGGTGGTGACTATGCTTATGTTGACGATGATGGCGATGGTGCAAATGATGAAGAGTATGATGAGGGTGCTGATGATGATATGATGATGCTGGTGATGATGCCCATGGTTGTAGTGACGATGGTGACGATGCTGATGACTATGATGCTGCTGATGATGATGACGATGACGATGACGATGATGCTGCTGCTGCTGATGATGATGATGATGATGCTGATGATCGTGATGATGACGACGATGATGAGGCTGATGCGGATGACGACGATGACGGTGATGGTGATGACGACGATGATGATGATGCTGCTGCTGATGATGTGGCTGCTGCTGCTGATGCTGATGCTGATGATGATGATGATGGTGATGGTGATTGTGATGATGAGGATGATGATGCTGCTGCTGCTGCTGGTGATTCTGATGCTGCTGATGATGCTGCTGTTGATGATAATGATGCTGATGCTGATGCTGATGCTGCTGCTGCTGATGATGATGGTGATGATGATGGTGGTGACGGTTATGATGCTTCTGAGGCTGAGAAGGAGTGGGAAGGGTCGTTCTCCTCGCCACGCCCCCCACATTATCCAATTCCCCGTCCTTTCCGGCAAGGGAGCCCAGCTTCTGTCCCCCGGCCTCACCTCAGGGCGCTCTCGTCGTCCATGCCCTGCTCCTTCATGAACACGGCGAAGTAGGTGCCGATCACTACGATGCCTCGGCAGCGCGCAAAGGGACGAAGGAGGAGGAGGATCGAGGCCCGTGGCTCTTGGGGCGCTCTCGGTCGCTGGCGTGCCCCTGCCTTCCTCCGGAGGCTCTGGGGCCCGAGGCCTCTTGGGCCCTGGGTTCGGCCCTGCGGTGTCCACGACGGCGCCCCAGCAACGCTGGCTCCCGGCAGTCTGTGCTGCACGCCGACGGAGAGGGAGCCAGGGAATGAGAAGCACGCGGGCGACAGCGACCCCGCGGGCGCGAGGAAGGGCCAGCGGGGCGACGCAGGCGGGCGGGCCCTGCGCTTCCGGTGCTCCTCTCCATTTCCTGGGCCCGGCCGGGGGCCCACCGCAGGGCGCGGCCCGAAGGACCCCCCGGGAGCGTGCTCGTCGTCCTGGGGCCACTTTTTTCTCTCCGGGCCCAGAAGGCCACGCAGGGAGGGCAAGGCAGGGCCCCGCGAGCAGGGACTGTGCCAAGCCGAGGGGTGGGCGGTCACCCGAGGGGCACTGCAGCCGTGGGCCGACGCATCCTCCGTGCTTCGCCTGCGCCACGCTGATGTGGCAAGATCCCCCCTTGCAGAGTCCTGGTCCGCGGGGCCCCCGGACCACACTGAGGACAGCTCGTCCAGAGAAGCGTGCCCCCAGGGGCGGACTGCGGCGGAGGACCTCCGCCTCCCTCCTCGTCACGGCGTCGGCTGTCCGGCCCCCCGAGGCCTCGATCCCCTTCTCGGGGGCAGCTCGACGTTCCCCCTGCCCGACGGCGGCCCACACATGGCGAGCCTGGTGCAAGACCGCCGCGCTGTCCTTTTTTCTCCCGCCGCCGCCTGGCCCCATTATGCCAATGGGAATCACCACTGAGGGGGGTCGCCACTTCCTCGAGGAGGGGTTCCCCTCGGGACCCCCTGGACCCTGCCACAACTCGGCGGCGAGCCCGGGAGGGAACGTGAGAGGGGGCGGGCCTTCTCAGAAGGCTCGGAAGTCCCCCGGCCTTCTGAGAAGCTCCCTCAGCCTCCCCCGAAGACGCAGGAAACTGCTCAGAAGGCGGGAGGGCTTCTGAGGAGCCCCGCCGCCTTCTGAGAAGGCCTTCTCCCCCTCACTTCCCCCCCCTCGCCCGCCGGCGAAGAACACCAGATTTCGTCCAAAAAACTCCTCGATGCTCGGTCCTCGCTCCTCGGGACGAGCTGGCGCCCCCCCGCCTGGTGGCCAAGAGGCAGCCCACGGCGACGGCACAGCACCGAAACCCGACCGCACTGGCAGCGACACCGCAGCCTGGAACCGACGGGCCACAGGCAGCCTAGAAGGGTGCAGCGACGCAGCAGCGACACAGCAACTGGCCGAAGCGACCGAACGCGACCGACTGCGGCGCAGCCGAACCGTCCGAACCGCGAACACCCTGGATCCGGAGAGACGCAAGACTCGGATTCGGGGGACCAGGGTTGTCCTGACGGGGCCGTCAGGGAAATGTCGAGACCCAGTCTGACATTTGACGCGAGCTCCCGCCGCAAACATCCTACGAACACTGGACCGTCGAACTCCAGAACGGGCTCGTCAAAACGCGTCGGCAACCCCGAGTTCTGGCGAACTCCAGTCTTACGTTTCCCCGACGGATCCTCGATCCTCAAGAGAGCTTATGGCCCCCCGAATGATGACCCCCACCTCTGGCGCTGCCCGACTTCGGAGGCTTGGAGGGACCAGAAGGAGCCGCAGGTGGAGAAACAGGTTGAGGGAAGGGAGGAGGAGGGGAAGGATGCAGAGGATGCACAGGAGGGGGAGGCAGAGGAGGAGGATGAGGAGGATGAGGAGGATGAGGAGGATGAGGATGAGGATGAGGATGAGGATGAGGATGAGGATGAGGATGATGATGATGATGATGATGATGATGATGATGATGATGATGATGATGATGATGATGATGATGATGTGGAGGAGGAGGAGGAGGAGGAGGAGGAGGAGGAGTGACGATGACGACGAAAGGACGAGGAGCTGACGAGGAGAGAGGGGAGGAGGAGGAGGAGGAGGAGAGAGGGAGGGGAGGAGGAGAAGAGGAGGAGGAGGAGAAGGAGGGGGAGGAGGAGGAGGAGGTGGAGGAGGAGGAGGAAGGGACGAGGGGAGGAGGACGAGGAGGAGGAGGAGGAGGAGGAGGAGGAGGAGGAGGAGGAGGAGGGTGTGGAGGGTGAGGAGGGTGAGGAGGGTGAGGAGGAGGAGGAGGAGGAGGAGGAGGGGGAGAGAGGAGGAGGAGGAGGAGGAGGAGGAGGAGGAGGAGGAGGAGGGAGGAGGTGGGAGAGGAGGATGAGGTGGATGAGGAGATGAACAGGAGGTGCAGGAGGAGGAGGAGGAGGATGAGAAGGAGGGAGGAGGAGGAGGGGAGGAGGAGGAGGAGGAGGAGGGGAGGGGTAAGGAGGTGGAGGAGGGAGGGGAGGGAGGGTGGGGGAGGGGAGGGGATGGAGGAGGAGAGGGGATGGAGGGAGGGAGGAGGAGGGAGGAGGGAGGGAAGGAGGGAGGAGGTGGGGGAGGAGGAGGAGGAGGAGGAGGAGGAGGAGGAGGAGGAGGAGGAGGAGGAGGAGAAGAGGCCCTCGGCACTGCCCGACGTCGGAGGTCGTGGCCTCCCCCCTTTTGCGCACCCGCCCGGCGGTGCCGCTGCCAGCCCGGGAGATCCAGCAGCAGCACGCGATGCGGAAGCCTGCGTGCCCGGGGAGCTCCAGCACCTGGGCGAGGGGCAGCGTCGGGGGGGGACCTGGCTCAGAGTTTGGGGGTTCGACTTTCGAGGCTGTCCGACGTCGTCGTCGGTTCTCGACGGTTTCCCAGCCTCGGGATGCTCTCCAGCAGCTGCGTCTCGCCGAGAGCGTCCCAGGGGCTCCTGGATCGTCCCGAACGGCCGCCAGAGGCCCGAGCTACGATTTCAAAACCGTCAAGGGACTGGCTCAGGGGAGGAAGCATCGACCGGAAGTCGGCGATACATCGCCGCGGCGATAGGCCCCCGATGGCGAATCCGCACGTTCCTGGGCGGGGTGGACTATCAGGCCCCGAGCGACGATGAATGGGCGATTGGGGGTCGTTGCATCTTCCCCTGAGCCTGTCCCCCCCGAGCGTTGCCCCTGACTGGGGCACCGGGCAGCCACAGCTCCTTCCCAGACCTCCCCTCGCCATGAACACAACAGAACTTGACGGAATGCCTTTTCCTCACTTTCGGTCTCTGGGGGCCCTTGCCGAGCTCTGGTGCCGTCAAACAACACGTCGGGATGAAAAGCCGGTCCCTGGGGTGGTGTCCAGACGCGTGGGCGGCAGCTGGGTGAAAAAGCATCACGACGTTTGGGTTATGAGTCGTTCTCCCTCCTCACAGGAACAAAATGGCGCGGTATTCCCATGATGCGATCCTTTGCCGTCATGGTACACATGAATACCGCTTCCCAAGACTCCTCCTCCTGCTCCTCTTCCTCCTTCTCCTCTCTCCTCCTCCCTCGTCTTCCTCCTCCTCCTTCTCCCTGCTCTTTCTCCGTCCTCCTCCCCACGCATTCCTGTTCGTTAGTGGAAGTAACTTCTCCTCGTCGCGCCATCCGAAGTGTCGGTAGGACGGGGTGGGTGATTCGCCTGAGACTTCATCACCGCTTATGGTCCAGACGCCTGAACTTTCTCATTGATACATGGATGGAGGGCGGGTGGTGTCGAAATCTGGCTCTGACCTCAGCGCTGTGGACATTCACCTTGCACTCTAATCGTACTTACAAGGATGGAAGGCACATCGTTTTCAACATGTGGGTTTTGTCTTAACGCTGCGCACATTCGCCTTGAACTTTTTTCTCAAAGCTACAACAACGGAGGGCGGGGGGGAAGGGGTGGGGTCGAGATGTGGCTCTCGCCTTAGCGACGCGCATATTCGCCTTAATCTTTTTCCATCGCTTCAAGGATGGACGGAATGTGGCTTTCAAAATGTGGCTCTCGCCTGAGCGCCGCCCACCTTCGACTTAACAGATCCCACGCCTACACGGATGGACGGCGGCTCCTTTTCAAACATCGGGCTAACGCTTTCGACTTCCCTGGGGTCCATGAGCAGACCTGTACACACTGCGCATCCGATGACATGATGGAGGCAGGCTCCCCTCGACACGGGGCGGGAGGAGGAGGAGGAGGAGGAGGAGGAGGAGGAGGAGGAGGAGGAGGAGGAGGAGGAGGAGGAGGAGGAGGAGGAGGAGGAGGAGGAGGAGGAGGAGGAGAGGAGGAGGAGAGGAGGAGTGGAGGAGGAGGAGGAGGCGGAGGAGGAGGAGGCGGAGGAGGAGGAGGATCTGGGCGCCCTCGAAAAAGGGCAGCCGGACGTGCAGGCTGCTGCCGCAGTGGTGCGGACGGAGGGCGGCACATCTCCAGGACGGGGCTCTCGTTGGGGGGCACCTCCTCGCGGTGCCGGGCGGCGCCTTCTCAAAGCGAGGACCCCATCCCCTCCCTCCCTTCCCTCCCTCCCTCCTTCCTCTTCGGTTTCCTCCTCCTCCTCCTCCTCCTCCTCGCCCCAGCCGGCCTGCCCCTGCGGCGCTCGCGTCGCCCCGGGGGGGCGCGTCCCACGGCGAAGAGGCATGCCCGTAGCTGGGCCTCGTGATCGATGGGGGCCAGGGACGGGAGGGCGCATCGCAGCGTCCTCGGTGCGTCCGGGCTTCGACTTGGCCCTGCTCCTCCGTTCCCTCCCTCCTCTCCTACTCCTCCCTGAAGGAAGTTGCGCCACTCGCCTCGCCGGGGAGACCCATCGTATGTACTCAGATCTGTTTGAACGCGGCAAGCAGGAATTTCCTTGTTTTCGTGGTCCAGGGCCCGCGCCGTCAAGCGTGAATCCTGTATCAGCCAGTGGTTCCCAGAAAAAGGTCTGAAAGGTCTGGGGGCCAAAGTCCTTACCCACCGTGGTGGAAACCACCGTGTGGAGAATCTCTCTAGAGGCGTCGAAGCCGTTGAATATGTTGTCTCAGGGGCTCCGGTAAGTGAGGTGAGTGGAACAGGAAGACGGGAGGAGGAAGAGGAGGAGGAAGAGGAGGAGGAGGAGGAGGAGGAGGAGGAGGAGGAGGAGGAGGAGGAGGAGGAGGAGGAGGAGGAGGAGGAGCAGATCGAAAACGAGTGCGCAGAGCAGCAGCAACGACAGGCAAATAGCAGGAAAAAGGACGAGCGCGCGCGCAGCACGACGGTGAGGAAAATAACCCAGAGGGGGCTACCCAAGACGAAGCCAAACGCATGCATCGTCAGAGGAGAGAAGTGGGCAGGGGTCCCCCCGCCACTCCCCCGTGACGGGGTCCTTGCCCACCTTGAGGGACCAAAGGTAGGTGGAATCCTTACTGGATGCAATTCCCTCGCAGTGGCTCCAGAGCCTCGACCGAGAGGCCGACGGCTGGGCCCGAGCGAGCGCCGCAGCGCAGGCAGAATGCAAGGGTGGCCCCAGCACGGCAGACCTGATGCCCTCGTGAACGACTAGGCCCGACAGGGCCTTGAGTGGGGAGGGGGACGTCAGGGAGGACAGCATCACGCGAGGCCCGGGACAAACCCCGCCGCGGACCCCCAGAGGCCCGAGCCCTCATTCAAGGCGGAGGCCCACCAGGGCCGTCAGAGGGGGGGGGGGGACCAGGGCCGTCGGCGGGAGGCGGGCCAGGGGCCGAGGGGCCTTCGGGCGCAGGAAGCTAGACACAGACACACGTGGCTGGATTCACGGGTGGAACGTGCGGATGCCGCACGATGGGTGCACGTGCGGAGGGCTGCCGTGCCCTGCCACGGAGGGACCACACGCGGGGAAGACGTGCGGCCGCATGCGGCCGACTCTGGAGAGGCACCAGAGGTCTCCCAGATGGGGTTGGAGTAGATGCTGGCGGCGCGCACAAGGGGGTGGGGGGAGGGGGGAGGGAGGGCTTCTTAGAAGGAGGCTGCTTCTTAGAAGGCGCCGGCCTTACATCTATACATAAGGCCCGCGTCTTCTAAGAAGCAGGGGTGCTTCTAAGAAGCCCTCCCCCCTCCCCCCACCCCCCTCTGCGCGTGGCTGAAGATGGGGTCGGAGGATCGCGCCGCATCGCCGATACATCGGCGATGCTCCGGCGATGCACCGGCGATGCACCGTGGACGTCGGCGATGCACCGGCGATGCACCGGCGGACGCCGCCGCCGACCTTCCTCCGCCGGCCTCCGCTGGCTCCCGCCAAGGAGGGCCGCGGCGGGCGGCCCGCGGACGCGCCGGGTGTGGCGAGCTCTCGCCCGGGGGGCTGCCGCGTCGCGTGTGCCCAGCGTCCGTAAGACGAAGCCGGGATCGGGTGTTGCTAGAAGTGCCCCTGGCCCGAGGTGCCCCCCAGCTTTTCGCTCCGTCTTGGAGCCCCTGGGGCCCTCTGGGCCTCGTGAGGGGTGCCCTGGAGGCCGCCTGGGCCACCCTGGGAATCCTGGGGGTACCTTGGGCCAGGGGTACTTCTGGCAACACCCGCCAGGGCGAGAAGGAGGAGGAGGAGGAGGAGGAGGAGGAGGAGGAGGAGGAGGAGGAGGAGGAGGAGGAGGAGGAGGAGGAGGAGAGGAGGAGGAGGAGGAGGAGGAGGAGGAGGAGGAGTAGGAGTAGTAGTTAGTAGTAGTAGTAGGAGGAGGAGGAGGAGGAGGAGGAGGGGAGGAGGAGGAGGAGGGGAGGAGGAGGGAGGAGGAGGAGGAGGAGGAGGAGGAGGAGGAGGAGGAGGCGGAGGAGGAAGGAGGGGGAGGAGGAGGAGGAGGGTGGAGGAGGCTGAGGTGAGAGGAGGAGGAGGAGGAGGAGGAGGAGGAGGTGGAGGAGGAGGAGGAGGAGGAGGAGGAGGAGGAGGAGGAGGAGGAGGAGGAGGGAGGAGGAGGAGGAGGATGAGGAGGTGAGGAGGAGGAGGAAGGAGGAGGGTGGGGAGGAGGAGAGAGAGAGGGGAGGAGGAGGAGGAGGAGGGAGGAGGAGGAGGGGAGGAGGAGGAGGAGGAGGAGGAGGAGGAGAGGTGGAGTAGGAGGAGGAGGAGGAGGAGGAGGAGGAGGAGGAGGAGGAGGAGGAGGAGGAGGAGGAGGAGGAGGAGGAGGAGGAGGAGGAGGAGGGAGGAGGAGGAGGAGGGACGAGGAGGAGGAGGAGGAGGAGGAGGAGGAGGAGGAGGGGGTAGGGGGAGGAGGAGGAGGAGGAGGAGGAGGAGGAGGAGGGAGGAGGAGGAGCAGGAGGAGGAGGAGGAGAGAGGAGGAGGAGGGGAGGAGGAGAGGGGCGGGAGGAGGAGGAGGAGGAGGAGGAGGAGGGAGAGGGTGGAGGAGGTGGAGGAAGCAGGTAGGAGGAGGAGGTGGAAGGAGAGGAGGGTGGGAGGAGGGGGAGGGGAGGAGGAGGAGGAGGGTGGGAACATATCGAACATCTCTGAGGTCTGGCGGCCCTGGAAGGTGCCTCGAGCGCCGCGGCCCTCGCAGAGCGCTCTGGAACGCTCCGAGAGCGGTCCTGAAGGCTCTGGAACGGACTTGGCCTCATGATGTTCCAACCTACGTTAGCCTTGATCACCAAACATAATTTCGAGATCCACACAGAAAAACGAAACTCTGGGGCTTCCACGTGTCGGGCCCTGGGAGACACTCGTTCGACACTGTTTCGACACTCTTTCGACACTTTCCCGGGTGCTCGAAATCATTTCTGGGATGTGGTCCTTAAGTACGATGGGAGCAACATACATTTATCCTCGTCCTAGCTAGAAGCAGAACACAACAACAACGCCACAGACATAAACTTTTGGCGCTCCGCGCGGATCCAAGAAATCCGCGCGGAGCGCCAACAACTTATCTTTATGGCGGTTTTCCGTCTTCGACTAGCCTTAGGTCGGGCATGTTCCCCCTACAGGCGGAATTCGGACGGAACATACATTATATCCCAACCATATTCCCAAATAGCAAAACATACGAAACAAATCGCCCCCTCCCCCTTATATATAGATGTATATATATATATATATATATATATATATGTATATATATATATAAACAACTATTTTGGCTTAGTTGCCCCCTGTAGAGGGACAAGCCCGACCCAAGGCTAGCCCCGTCCGACTCCCGGCAGAGCATCGGCGATCCCTCTCTCGAGGCAGGCGCCGAGGCCGCAGCCCACGGTGGGGGGGCCGGGAGCGCACGGCCGCCGCTTCCCCCCCCCCCGCTGCGGCTGGCCTGGGACAGCTGGTCGGCCCACGTGGTCTTCGTCATGGTCTCCTCCTCCTCCTGCCGCGAGTGGGGAGGATCCTCTCCTCCTCCTCTCCTCCTCCTCCTCCTCTCCTCCTCCTCCTCCTCCTCTCCTCCTCCTCCTCCTCTCCTCCTCCTCATCCTGTCATGATCTCCTCCTCCTCCTCTCCTCCTCCTCCTCCTCCTGCCTCCCTCCTCCTCCTCCTCCTGCCGCGAGTGGGCGCGCTTTCTTCCTCGGCGTCTCGGCATCGGGCGGAAAGGGGGGGGGAAGGGGGGGGTCCAGCTCCGGGCCCCTGCCCAGTGCGACTGCGTGCAAACGGTGCGTCCCATGGGGGAGCCTCCACCTGCTTGAAACGGGCGCCAAGAACAGCCAAGATCTACTCCAGGGGAGTGGGGGGGGAGGGGGGGGTGCGAGGGCCCGCGTCGATCGGCAAAACAATGAATAAGAAAACGACCACAAGAGGAAGATGGGGGACACGTTTGCTGAGCCCTCGCTCCGTAAGAGAACATGTGGATGATCCCCCTTTCTGGTGCCCATTGTGATTTCTCACTTGGAGTGTCCCCCTCGGGGTATCCCACAGCGTTCCCAAATGGCAACATTGGATGTCGAATTACGCTGTGGGACCCCCGACCACAAAAGCAGCAGCAGCAGCAGCAGCAGCAGCAGCAGCAGCAGCAGCAGCAGCAGCAGCAGCAGCACCAATTCCCGCCTCAGACTTCCCCACTCCTTGTGAAGGAATCTCGCGCTCTCGCCCGAGAGATTTCTCTGCAACTCACGGCAGAAACGGGCTCTCGTTCGGGACTTCCCCACGATGTACTCCGGCATCGCACGTTCGCTTTTCAGGGATGGCGCATTCGCCTCTGGGACGCCCTCTCGACTTTTGGGGCGAGCCGCCCCCCTCGCCAGGGACCTCCTCCCGACGTGCTTACGCATTGCGCTTTGGCTGAGGGCTTCTCCTGGCAATTCATACTCAGGCTTCGCGCCCTCGCAGATGCAAAATCGTGCTCTCGCTTGGACCCTCCTCGCCGCCACTCTCATGCCCCGCCTGCCGCCCGCCCGACCCGCCCTTCCGGGCCCGCCCGTCCGACCCCGACCCGCCCGCTTCGGTGCTCCGCCCGCCCGACCCGCCCAACAGGGGTCCGCCCGTTCCCTTCCTTGGAAGCCCGCCCGCCAGCCATAGTGTCCCGCCCTAATGTCCCGCCCGTGAGGGTCCGCCCGGCTGTCCAGCCCGCTGGGGTCCGCCCGCCCATCCCGCTGGCGTTGCCCTCTCGGGGTTTACCCAGGAGCTTGCATGGACAATGATACCCGAGACGTGCCCAACCCATTCTCCACGCGAGGCGAACCTGTGCATGAACGCTCCGTACAAGAGAACGCATCGCCAGATGTGCACGATCTGCGCTGCCCCCATCCCCACCGTGCCTCCCACGAGCCCACGAAAGTGGCGACAATTGCGCGCCTCGTAGCCTCCCAGGGAGCCGCGAGGCCTCGGCTGGATCCGCGTGGCCCCCGACTCCGCTGGACCTCCCAGGAGCCAACGAAAGTGGCACCAATCGCGCAGTTCGCAGCGCACCTGGGATCTGCGAGGTCTCAAGTGAGTGCGCGTGGCCCCCGGCTCCGCCGTGCCTGCCAGGAGCCCACGAAAAGGGCGACAATTGCGCAGTTCGCAGACCTCCAAGGAGCAGCGAGGTCCCGTCTGGTTCCGCATACTCCGCGACTCCGCCGTGCCTGCCAGGAGCCCACGAAAGTGGCGACAATTGCGCAGTTCGCAGACCCCAAGGCAACTGCGAGGTCTCGGCTGGGTCCGCGTACTCCGCGAGCCCGCCTCTCCTCGCAAGAGCACGCGAACGTGGCGACGACGATTGCGCAGCTCGCACCCCCCTCGGGAGCCGCGAGATCCCGCCCGGGTCCGCGTACTCCGCGACTCCGCCGTGCCTCCCAGGAGCGCGCGAACGTGGCGACAATTGCGTAGTTCGCCCCCCCCCAAAGAACAGCAAGGTCCCGCCTGGGTGCGCGCACTCCGCGACTCCGCCGTGCCTCCCTGGAGCCCACGAAAGTGGCGACAGTTGTGCAGTTCGCAGCCCCCAAGGGAACAGCGCAGGAGCAGGCAGGAGGACGGACAAGGGTGGTTGGATGAGGAGAAGTGGATACCACAAGGCTCTGTTCAAAACAAGATCCCAACACTGGAGGGTTGGGGCAAACCTTTCAAAGAGGGTACGCTCATACATGAAGAGGGCAGGAATGCGAAGGAGGAGGAGGATGATGAGGAGGAGGAGGAGGAAGAGGAGGACGGGGATCAGAGACTTCCGGAGATCCCGGCCTCGGGCGACTGGAAGCAGCCAGGCATCGTTTGCTGCTGTGTGTTCGTGTAGTTCTTTTTGCCTCTCTTCATATCCGGTGTCCAGGGGCCGCTTTTCAGGGCCGTCAGAGACCGGCCTGGAATGGAAAGCTAGCCCCAACGGTTTTCGCCGCCGCCGCTTTTGTCGTCGTCGTCGTCGTCGTCGTGGTCGTGGTCCTTGTCGTGGTCGTGGTCGTGGTCGTGGTCGTCGTCGTCGAGGAATGGGTTGCCGATAGCTCGGGGAACCAACGACTCAAAAAAACGGGGCCCTGAAGGTCGGGGGGGTGGGATCCGCGACGTCGGCTAGGACCTCGCTTCCTGCAGTTTCGGCGGGAACTTCAACCCAGACATCAGGCGCCTCGAGAACATCGATGCGGCCAGTTCGTGGTCATTCTTGGTATCTGGAGAAATGGTCTTGGGCCTCAGGACTGTCGAGAAACGACTCGGGATGAAGCACTGGCCCTGGGGAAGAGGTGGAGAGGTCCTCGGGCCCACGCGTCGAGCAAATCGGAGCGCCCGATGCCTGGTAAGGAAGAGTGCCCCGCCGGCCGAATCCACCTGGGGGCACGAGATCACCGTAGCCCTCGCGCAGGACACGCGTCGAACGCATCGGAGCGCCCGACGCCTGGTGAGGAAGAGTGCCCCGCTGGCTGGGGGCACGAGGTCACCGTCACCCTCACGCAGGAAGCTGGCAGCGTGCAGCAGGGGATGGCACGAGGGGGGCGCCCTTCCGAGAGGGCCGGTGGCTTCTCAGGAGGCCTCCTGGCTTCGAAGCAGCCTCCTCGGAAGCCCCCCCCCCAGGGCCCTCCCAACAGGGCCCCCCGCCTGTTCGGAAGGCCGCCCCCCGCTCAGCGCCAGTGCGCGCCGCCAGGGAAGGCCTGGGGCCTGCTCTCCTGGCTTCGAACCAGCCTCCTCGGAAGCCCCCCACTCAGGGCCCTCCCAACAGGGCCCCCCCCGACTTTTCGGAAGGCAGCCCCCCCCCCCCCCTTCAGCGCCAGTGCGCGCCGCCAGGAGAGGCCTGGGGCCTGCTCTGTGCCCCAAGGGGGAGGAGGAGGAGGAGGAGGGGGAGGAGGAGGCGGAGGAGGAGGAGGCGGAGGAGGAGGAGGAGGAGGTATGAGGAGGAGGAGGAGGAGGAGGAGGCGGAAGAGGAGGGGGAGGAGGAGGAGGAGGAGGAGAAGGAGGAGGAGGAGGAGGAGGAGGAGGAGGAGGCCCGCCCCCCAACCAACGGTCCCTCCACGAACTCAGCGTCTGCTCTATCTCGTCGTCCTTGCCGTCCAGGGCGCTGCGCAGCACGGCGGCGGCCTCCGCGTGCCGCCCCCACAGCTGCAGGTAGCGCGGCGACTCCGGGACCTGCAGGCACAGCAGCGCCAGCAGCGCCAGCGCCGGCGCGATGCCGCCCAGGGTCACGAAGGTGCGCCAGGACGCGTTCTGCCTGCCCATCAGCACCCACGCCATGAGGGTGGCGGCAAGCATGCCCAGGTTGATGTAGACCTCCTCCATGGACACCAGCATGCCGCGGTGCTCCGCGGGGGAGAGTTCGGACATGTAGACGGAGACGCAGGTGATGCCAGACCTGATGCCCAGTGCAATGATCCCCCTGCCGAGGCCTAACTGGTACACATCGGGTGCCGTGGCCATGAGCGCGCAACCGCACATACATATAACATAAGTGGAAACCAGCGTCGGCTTCCTTCCCATCACGTCCATGAGCCATCCCATGAACAGATAACCTACCAAGCCTGCTGCCATCGGCACGCTTGCCAATAAGACTACGCCCGTCACCGTGAGACTGAATTCTTTGATCACGGGACTCAATATCAGGGAAAAGATCACGAGTTCGTACCCCTCAGCGAATGAACTAGCGAACGTCACCAAACGGGCCGTGTGAACTGTGCTGAGCCATTGCTGGCGTCGAGGCTTCGTCGGCAACAGTGTGCTACGTTCATCTACGGACATGTGTTGAACAACTTAATAGGCTCTGCATGGGCGTGACCAATCTTGAAAACATGCGCCAGCGTAGCCTGAGCCAAGTGGCTGCATGTACAGCCAGTGGTGAATCCAAATGGCATAATGGAACAACTCGCAGGAGAAAAGGGGCACAACACAAAAGCAACGATAAAGAAACGGCTGACATCAAGACGACTGTCGCAGTGACCAAGCGGCGCATACATATGCGGAGAGACTGAATGGCGCACGCTGCTGCATGCACGTATCTTACGCTCTCGTGCCAAATCTACAGAGACGCCAGACAACTCTCATGAACTTCAAACAACGAAAAACTGCACTTCACTTCCACTGACTTGCTGGGCCAAAGCGGCTCGAAAGAGCGCTCCCACATAATCAATGAGTCTGCGTTGAACCAATGAGAACGGCAGTGTTGTATCTCCACAGGTGCGAACGCCCACTATGCAATGCCTGGTCGGAAGCTGCTGCTGGCTCGAGGGGAGCACCGCGCCCGCCACCAGTACTTGGCCGACTCTGGAGACCCTGGCTACAGTCGGACCCTTCTGGGGGCCACGTTGTCCCGGGAATGCAGACGACGTGGGACGCGGCATACAGGACACAGAGGGTACCCTTGATCTGGAAGGGTCAACCTACTAACTAAACTGGACTGAAGGCCAAGGTTGACCTCTCTTGGGGATTCGGCCTCAACTTCCGCTGGCTTCCGCCGACCTTCCACCGATTGCCGCCAGCGAAGCCGCCAATGTTTCGCTTCCGCTGGGCAACCTTATGGCACGTTGCCAGCTTGGCATCCGGCGAGGGAAACAATTAGATGCTCGCTGGGAGAGTGAGGTGCATTCTGTGACATCGCCGTCACGGCCTCTGATTCCCCCTTACCTTCTCATCGTCCTCGCTCCACGATTTCACCTCATCCCCCACCCCAATGAACTGCGCAGCGTCCTCGTGGTAGTTGTGAGCCGAGACACTGGAACGCAAGGCAGATACAGAGACAGAGGGAGAAATAGAGAAAGAGAGAGAGGGAGAGAGGGAGAGAGAGAGAGAGAGAGAGACAGGGAAGGACAGATGGAGAGACCGACATAGGGAGAGAGAACTAGAGAGAGAGAGAGAGAGATACACACATTTACATATCTATGTATATATATATATACAGATACACACGTACATTTAGAGAGATACTGATAGCTATATATATATATATATATATATATAGAAAGAGAGAGATAACGAGCGAGAGAGAGAGAGAGAGAGAGAGAGAGAAAGAGAGAGAGAGAGAGAGAGAGAGAGAGCGAGAGAGAGAGATATATAGAGAGAGAGAGAGAGAGAGAGAGAGAGAGAGAGAGAGAGAGGGAGAGAGAGGCCCGTGCGCGCGCGCGCCCATAGCCCAGATGTGTGGAAACGGCGCGCCCCAGAGGCAGCCTCACCCGAGCCCCAACGAAGAACCGCTCGGGATGGGAGTGGCCCGACCATGCCCCGAAGGTCGAACAAACCGTCCCCGAACCTCACCCTCGATTCTAGATCCTCCTCCTCCTCCTCAGCCTCCCTGATCCCCGCTCTAAAATCATGCTTCCATTCACGTCCTTCTCCGCCTCGATGCTCCTCCTCCTCCTCCTCCTTCTCTCCGTCCTCTTCCCCAAATCATGCTTCTGTTCCCTTGCTCTCCCTCCTCCTCCGCCTCCCCAGTCATTGGGTGCTCCGACTTTTCCCACGCGTGGGCCCCAGGACCTCTCAACCCCTCCCCATTTCTCGTCTCGAGCCGTTCCTCGACGGCCCCCAGGCCCGAAGCCAGCCTCCGCAGGAGCAACACTGTGGCAAACCGGCCGCAGAACTGTTTCCTCCGAGGCGCTGGATGTCTGGGGGTCCTCTTCCTCCTGCTCCCCCTCAGACATCCGGCGCCGTGTTTCTTTTGATCATCCTGTGGTGTTGGGCCTCCTCCCGCCCCCCCCCCGCCCCTTCCTTGTTTGAAGGGGCCCTGGGACACACAAACAAAGATACACAAACAACAAGATCCCCCCTGCTTTCCTACATTTTCTGGGTTTTCGTCCTCCCCCCCACTTCCCATATTTAGGGGAACAAAAAGTGACATAAACATAAAAACTCGGAGGTCCGCGCGGATTTCTCGGATCGGCGCTGGACCCCCCTCCCTGGCGCGCGGAGCGCGCCAGGGGCGGCGCCAAAGGCGCCGCCGGGGGGCCCCAGCGCCGATCCGAGAAATCCGCGCGGACCTCCGAGTTTTTATGTTTATGTCACTTTTCGTTCCCCTAATATTGTCCCATATCTTCTTGGGAGTCGACAATCTATGGTTTGTGTGTGTGTATATGTTTTTGCCCCTTCCTTGTTGCCTCTGCTGTCCGCCTCTGCCTCCCTGCCTTGCATCTGCCCTTCGCGTGTCCGCTCCGTGGCCCCCTCGGGAGCTCCACCGAAGGCCCCCGTGGCAGTGGTCGCACGGCGGCCGCCCCTCCCTTCGCCACGCGCCTCGCACGACTCGTGGCCCCAATGGGGAGCTCCGCCGAAGGCCCCAGTGGCACCAACCGCCTGGCGGCCTCGATCCCTCTCCCATGCCGCCCTGCTTCACTCCTCCTCCCTCTCCTCCTCCTCCTCCTCCTCCTCCTCCTCCTCCTCCTCCTCCTCGTCACAGTTTTCTCACACGCTTCGTATCCCCACAGGGAGCTCCGCCGAAGGCCTCAGTGGCAGCGACCGCGTGGCGGCCTCGGGTCCATTCCGGCACGCCCCTGCGGCACTCACGCTCTCCAGAGATTTGGACCCCTTCTTAGGGACCAATTCTCTATACCCTGAGTCGTTGCTTGACGGCCCCTGGGCCCGGCAAAGGCCCCGAGAGGCAGAGAACTGCCGGAAACCTTCCGTCGTGATTTCTTCGCGATGCGAAACTCGCCATCGCTCGGACGCCCATTCCCTGTGCTTTTTTCGGTTTCGTGCGTGGCTTCTTCGCCAAAGGATCAAGGATGCTCCTCGACGGTCCTCGCCGAGAAAAAAATGCACACGTCCGAGCGATGCCAAGGAAGAGGTTGGAGCTCCTCCTCCTCCTCCTCCTCCTCCTCTCTCTCCTCCTCCCCTCCTCCTCCTCCTCCCTCCTCCTCCTCCTCCCATCCTCCTCCTCCTCCTCCTCCTCCGCCTCCTCCTCCTCCTCCTCCTCCTCTCTCCTCCCTCCTCCCCCCACTTCCTCCTCCTCTCCTCCTCCTCCTCCTCCTCTCCTCCTCCTCAACTCCTCCTCCTCCTCCCCTCCTCCTCCTCCTCCTCCTCCCACCACTTCCTCCCGGCGGTGCTTCCAAGCCCCCTCCTCCCTCGCGCCGCGTCCTCGCGCCCTCCCCGCCGCCGCGCCGCGCCTCCAGCTCCGTGGCGGGCGCGCCCTCCCGAGAGTACGACACCTTCGGCGCCGCACGGGGGGCGGAGCTGGCCTGCCCTGCATGGGGCGTGGACGGGGAGGAGGAGGGAGGAGGAGGAGGAGGAGGAGGAGGGAGGAGAGGAGGAGGAGGAGGAGGAGGAGGAGAAGGAGGATGAGGAGAGGAGGAGGAGGAGGAGGAGGCGGAGGAGGAGGAGGAGGAGGAGGAGGGAGGAGGAGGAGGAGGAGGAGGAGGAGGAGGAGGAGACGGAGGAGGAGGAGGAGGAGGAGGAGGAGGAGGGAGGGGGAGGAGGAGGAGGGAGGGGGCGGAGGAGGAGGAGGAGGAGGGGGACGGGGATGGGTGAAAACGATACCGCCGCGCCGCCCCCGCGGCGCCCCCTCCTGCGCGACGCTGCGCGGGGCGCTCAGCTGCGCGAGGCGCTCCCGGGCTCCTGCCCTGCCTGCCCTGCATGGGGCGTGGACAGGGAGGAGGAGGGAGGAGGGAGGAGACGACGACGACGACGACGACGACGACGACGACGACGACGACGACGACGACGACGACGACGACGACGACGACGACGACGACGACGACGACGACGACGACGACGACGACGACGAC